CATGACCATGGCGAGGTGTATGACCATGATTATGAAGGTTGGGCTATCACGCAAATGACCGTAATAACGATGATAGTTAACAATGATCATGGCCGGCCTTCTATCACAGGTGGACCTGGCGATGCAATTCGGGTTTGAATTCTTCCTGGGCGGCATCATGAAGCCAGACTCCGGAGTACTCTTCAAGGCCTGGTGCAGATGTCCGGGTTGGCAGGAGAAGTCCTCAGGAGAGCTCGGCTTTGCTCTGCAGCTTGTTGATTTACGCCACCGAACCTGCAACCCTGAAGCCTAGATGCAAGACCAGGGTGAAAAAATGCTAAAGCTTCGTACGTCGTGACGACTTAGCGAAGGTCTCTGAGCAAAGCCCCAAAGAAACAGCTCCGGGCCGTCCTTGCGCTACGTTACACTGTCGGTTCCTCCCGTACCTGTTATGACTAATGAAGCCTATGGCTGCCTCGGCGCCCGCCAGATGTGTATCTTCTTGATCAGCTGCTGCATCGTGTGGATGGATGTGGCGCGGGCCCTGGCCCCTTCATCCGAGCCTTTGTTGGTGTCCCAGAGCTGCAAGGGATACTGATTCAGATCCAATTTCCTTCCGAGCTGCGACTTCACACGGCCTTGAATACCCTGAAAAATGAAGGCACCGAACAACACAAATCCTAGCATCCGCAGGCCTAGCATCTGTGCGAAAACCTGGGAACCCTGAGCCAACGCCGAACTGCCAGGAGCGAACGCTGCCCGGAATGGGCGGTGCCGCCCCGGGCATGGCGAGCCTCCTCTTCTTGGCCGAGGGCTCACTTTTGCGTTCAGGGACGTGCGCATTTAGGACGGGCCAAGGGATTCGGCTTCGCGAGGGTTTGCTGGGTTTCGAGCTTAAGCACATAGCGCAGAGGTCGGAATACATAGGGTACCGCCTCGCAGTCCGTGATCTAAAACCCGGACCATTCGGGTCATTAAGGCCCCTAGGTCAGCGTCGTTTCCCGTTGCGCTTCGCCCAGAGCTGATTCTGAATCCCGGTCTGATTGCATTTGGTTTGGGGCTTAGGGTTCGTAATTCGTAATACTGGTCGGTGGGTGCTGTGTTGTTGCTGATCGGCACTGGCTTCATGTTTCATTGCTGGTACACTTCTGGGCCTTGGTGATGTCGCTGAGGCGTCCTTTTTGCTGGCCGCGAGCTTGGCCGCAGATCACAATTCTCAGCTACGCATCAGAAGCTTCGCAGCCAAGAGTGAAACTAGACTTACTACTCCTACACACTGAACCCGAAAACACTGCAGAGCCCAAAGAACTCTCTGAGCCTGTTATCAGGAGCCCACAAAGCCCTCAGAAAAAAACTTGGGACATCCCTACCTGACCGGCTTGCTTAGAGTGGCTTATGGGATATCTTAGGTTTTTTGTTTAGGTGTTTCCTCCGGGCGCTATGTTGGGCAACCGAGCTTGTCGGCCACACCCACTCTGCATGACCCTGCTTGCTCGAGGTCGAGTGGTTTGGTGCCGACCTCGGACACGTGCCGGTTGTTGATTTCGTATTTTAACCTCGATTTGATGTGCCTTGCAGTCTAGCACCCCAAAAAATACGATGGCTCAAGCACTGTTCTGTAGACGTGACCTCGGCGAACCCCGGCAACATCGACATCCTTGTTCCCAAAGGCGAGACTTCCAAGACCGTCGCTGAACCCCAACCAAGACACCGATACCAGCGAAATCCCGCACAACTTATAAACATCCTGCAGTATAGTACCCTTTTAACACCCTTGTAGCCCAAGGTTGAACCCCAAAAACCCACGGAGAAATCTAGGTCGGAAGTGCGCAGAAACCCAGCGAGAGCTTCAGCTGCCCCGGGCTAAGATTCCTTTTTTGAGGGCTCAAGGGTAGTCGGGGCTTCGGGGAGTTCTGATCTTGCTGCAGCCTTGTGAGGTAGGCTACGCTTTGCGAGCCTGAAATCTAGGATTTGGGGTTTGAGCGTGTTTAAGTCGGCCCTGATTGCTTCATGACCTGGAAGCCTGAACCTTGAACCCTTTAGGCCTGAGACGACCCTGAACCGCCTGAGTCCCAAACGCCGAATTCAACTTGATTCGAGTCTGAGATCTCAGAGTCTGAGCCGCTGCGTAGCAGGAAAGGCAATATTCTCGGGTGATAAGAATGTCGAAGCGTGGAACTGCGACTATCAATACCGGGAGTTCTGGTAGCACGCTTAAATGCTGGTGCTGGTGCTGGTCGTGGTGGGAGAATTCTATCTCATGATAGTTCTCATTATGTTCATGAGCATGTCATTGGGGACGGTTATCTTCATGGGAGGCAGCAGTGGTAGCGGCAACAGCAAGAAAGGAGAAGTAGTGTTACTGCTACTGCTGATGCTCCGGCTACTGCCACTGCTGCTGATGCTGCTCCCCTACTAATACTGTTGGTACTCACATCATTGTTGATGAATGTTCTTACATCGTATGATATCATGACGCACCTCTGTCTCAGGGTATCGATGTCGCCACTGACGTTATTAATTATTGGTAAAGGCGACATTGCTATGGTACTGGTAGAATGACAGTGAGCACAACTGCCTATGTGCAGGAGCAACAATTACCAAGAAGAACCACAACAGCACTTTGCAGAATAGTACTCGGTTCGTAGTAAGGATGTTGGAAACACGCCCAAGGCCCAAAGCCGAAAACTACGTGCTTCGGCTGCCAAACCCAAACCTAGGACATTCTGAATACGACGGTAACCCAAACCCACGCAAAATGCAACACGTTTGTCCAGAAAGGTGTGAGAGTGCATTCCGGGCGGCGCATGCCCGGTGCCGAAACTTTGCAGAGGGCATCAGCTTCTACGGCCTCGGCCTCGGGTTCGTTGGGTTTCATAACGGTAGTATAGGGGCTGCTGTAGGGTTCTGTACCGGTAATATAGGGTTTTATAGCGACTCCATGTTTGGCGCCCTTACCGAGGGTTCAGGGTCTGAGCCCGAGAGTGAGTGTGCTTGGGAGAATAGAGCAGCAAAGAAGTCGTGACTTGGTGGATGGACTTTGAGAGGTTCCCGACAAGTATAGACAAAGGCAATAGCAAACCAGCATAAGCTATTATGAAGTGCAAACTGTGTAGAAGGACTTCACGCAGCCCTATGGCGGCTGTAGTAGAAACATGACTCACCAGCAGATCGACCTCGCCCCTGATTTTTGTTGCTCCTTGCCAGGTTTGTGGAGGTCTTTCGGGCTTGGGCGCACCGCAAGTCCCCGCAATCTCCTAGGCCCCAGCACTCCGAGAGATTTGGGCCTTAGCCAACGCGTGGAATCCTTGTCTCAAGACGCCCCGAGCCCCTGGCAGATGAGCAGTTCGGGAGTTTCTCTGATAGCTCCAGGTGGCGAAGCCACGGAGAAAATGATGCTGGACAAGCACTTCCAGCCGGTGTTGAACACCTTTCGGCCGCTTGTGCCGACATTCAGTTCGGGGCTGGTGGGGGTTCTTGATTTTTGTTAAAGCCCTACTCACGCCCCGAATCAGCCCTGTAGCCACCGTGCCCCAAGCCCTAGACCTCAAGCAAGAGAGCCATCCGCTCGCCACGCTGAGGGAGTTTTCCTGGCACAAGCTTCCGGTGGAGGTCTGGGGCCGAGGAGTTTTGGTCATCGGTTGGTTTTGGACTTCTTTGGGTTCTTGTGAAGACCTCAAGTTGATCCGGAAACCCGGGCTTCTTAGCGGGCGCATGCGTTGTGACGTACAAACTCCAAAGACGGCAAGAGCACGCGGAATCTCAGACAGAGCGCTTGGGGTCCTCGCTTGCTCTAGTGATGATCACGAAGTTCAGGGTCTAGAGCTCAACATCAAGGGGCAGATATGAGTAGACGTGCTGTCGCCTTTGGTGATGAGGAACAGGACGGGATGTTGCTGATGTTTTGATGTTCTGTGCCGAAACCCCTTTTCCTTACTGGTACCATCGTTGTTATCTTTGTTCCAAGACTTTGTTGTGCAATTCGCTGCCCATGTGTGTGGGTGGGGAAAGAACGATGACTGAATCTTTGGCACCACCCAGCCATCCCGAGCCTGTTCTCAGTGGCTCAGTTCCTACAGCTGAGCATCTACCAGGGCCAATACACCATCGCCTGTGCCCCAGCATTCGTGGACTCCGAGTCGATTTCGCAGTTGGGAGCCTCTTTCCCATGAGCTGGAACAAGCCCCCGGGCAAAGCGTTGACCCGTCATATAGCAGTTGTAGGTGGTCTACACAGCAGAATGAGAGGAAGGGTGTCGGAATGGGTATTTGCCGGCCTTTGGGAAGCGTCGTGCTGACAAGATCAGGCGATGCTCACGGGCGGCTTCGTGACATTTCGGGAGGACGACCGGTCTCGCCGAGTGAGGTTGCCCAGCATCGAAACCCTGACAACCGACTTGAAGATCACTTCTGGAGTGGCGGCAGTAGCAGGTAGTGGTGGTAGTAGTAGTAGTAGTAGTGGTAGTAGTAGGAGGAGGAGGAGGAGTAATACCAGCAGCAGCAGCAGCAGTAGTAGTGGTGGTAGTAGTAGTAGTAGTAGTAGTAGTAGTAGCAGCAGCAGGAGTAGTAGTAGTAGTAGTAGTAGTAGTCGTAGTCGTAGCAGGAGGAGGAGGAGGAGCCGCAGCAGCAGCAGCAGCAGCAGCAGCAGCCGTAGTTACAGCAGCAGGCAAGCACTAGCATCGCTTAATATCGCTATGTATCTGTTACCAGTAGGCGCAGGTGGGGGTAGTGGTTTCAAACGGTTTGGAGCTGAATGAGGCGGGGGATTCGAGACTAGGAATGCCCTCGCAAACCGCGGCTCCAAGTCAAGGGCCACGGACTTGAAAAGTCGGTCCGACGTTCGCGGCTACTATCGCGGATTTGTCGCACACATTCTCAAAACTGGTACGAATGGAGACATGCTCCATAATTATGAGCAATGTTCAGTCTTGTATGCCTCAAGTCTGTTGCACCAGAACTTTAACGGGCTATTGCTTTCCTATCGCGGACCCGGCAACTCGTTCAAAAACTTAACTAATCGTTTCATATGAGAACATGCAGCTCCACTCCAGCTATACTCGAGTCCACAGACGGCTGAAATCTGCCAATGAGGAAATTGTCGTGCCTTGGGACGCCGACCTGCTCAGTGTCCAGGTTGGGGTCACCGCCGATGACGCTCCGAGCGCAGAAGTCGACCTACGATCAAGAATTTCGCACCAGCTCAGGCTCACCGTGCCCCTTCGATCAGCTCCACTCCGCTTGTCACACACGTCTGTATGCAGGGCCCTGTTTTTGCATGCCCAGGCACTCGCTTGCCCATCAGGGTGCCTGTGAAGGCAGAGCGTCGAGTGCACTCTGCCCTCCGTGCTCTCAGCTCAGCTCTGCCTCGCAGCCGGCCCTCCTTGGACTTGAGCCGCTCCCGGATGGACTTCAGTGGCCGCTTGGACTTGGTACAGGCCTTCAGAAAGAGAGAGGGAGGGAGGGAGGCAGAGAGAGAGAGCCAGATAGAGAGAGAGAGAGAGAGAGAGGTGGAGAGAGTGACAGGGGGAGAGGGAGAGAGGGTGTGTCAAGCCGACTATATTGACTCTATAGCTTGTCTGTAGAATGTCCCGCTCCGACTACGTCGGAGGGCCGGCCTGCGGAATTCCGACGATGGTGTTGTCGCAGAGCGTGAAGATGTGATACTGCGGCACATGCGTGTTCAGGGTGCTAGAGGGAACTATGGATGGATCAACGAACTTCTCCAGTCCAGCAGGTGCCTGGAGAAGCTTGACGAAGTCAAAGATGATATGCTCGCCGGCTCCATTTTCAACCTTATCCCAGGAACTGTGAAGAGACAGAGTTCGTCATGTTCGGAAACTGGACCAAGTGCAGGCCTGCGTTTTCAGCATGTTATTCACCTTGATGATGTCGCCAAGCTTTGACGTGACGTCGTCCTGCAACGGGCAAGTGAGAACCGGAGACGAGTACCACAGCCTTCCATGAGCCTGAAACTGAACAAGCCACGAGCAGGGCATGCAAATGAAGTCTCCGGTGAGACCGTGTCAACTAGTTATAAAGGCTTACACTGGCTGGGCTGGCCTGAAAGACCCTATGAGAGTCTTAGGACAATGGGAACTCGTCTTTGCAGGCTGATTAGAGTTCTGACCAGACGATTCACCGACCCTGCATGCAACTCAAAGAGATTGGCGCAGCTTTTTCCGGGCATGGCCTTGGGGTCGTTTTGCCCCTCTCGGCCCTCTGGAAACCACCTGCTCGGCCTTCTTCGTGACGAATCACACACCGCACGTGCAATAGCCGGACAACTCGCAAACGGGTGGGGCCTTAGGATCCTTGAGGGATAGATCTTAGGCTTCGCACGAGGAAGGCCGCTCAGGGTGCAGAAGCTGAGGATCTCTCAGGCGAAACTAACTTAGAGAAGCCGCCACATTCAGCGTGCCTATTGATACACATAGTCCTTGCACGTAGAAGTGACGAGGAGATGAAAACGAAGGAAGACACAACCGCCCAATCCCTCTGCTTTTATGCCGGCGACGCTGAGATGGCAGATCCGATATAAGCTTCTTGCGGTTCTTTGGACATGCTATTCCTCAGCTGGCCTTCCTGTGGCAGACGAGGCGGATTCCGTTTCACACTCGCTAGTTAGCTAGTCGGCACCTACTGCCGGCGATGGACACAATACCAGACGGCACGACAAGGCATCTACATGGACATGGACGCGGGGTTTGAAACAAGTGCTCCAGACTTGGAAGGAGGCGGAGCCTTTGGGGATCCGGCTCCAAGATGCTGCAATTGAAACCAAGGGCTTGTGCTGGACGAGCAGGCGGGTGCTGTCTTCAGGTCGGGAAGCTTCTCTGTGAACGACGCGCCCGCTTTGGCAGCGTCCGGAAACCGATCTGGCTGGCATTGAACCTTTGGCTTCAATTACTGTCGAGTATCTGACTTCATGATATTATGCTACACGGATTGGACATGGCGAGAACAAAACGATGCGCCATTGATGGCAGTCGAGAGCACATTTCATGAAGTGGGTGAATGGCTAATGGACTGCCACGCTTCAACGATCAGCGTGAAACTCTTTTAGCGGTCTCGGTCAGAGCGCAGGGCGTCCTACGGAAAAGCTTCGAATTCCTCTTTTGCCCTGGCTCCGGCCATGCGACGTCAGAGCTGCTCAGAGCTCCTGGCTTTGCGATGCGCACACAAGAGCTGCAAGCGTGATGGCATGGCTGGCATGGCGAGAGACGTACCAAGGATGTGGTTTTCCGGCTTCCCGTGACCCACACTTATCTTCAATCCATTCTCACAGGTCTCAATGTATCAAGGCACTGTGACTTGCGATTCAACTCGCCATCTCTCCGGTGAGTAACGCGGCTCAGTCAGACGCTGGCGAGGACCCTCCACGTCGACTCCGACAATGCAAGACGCAACATCGATGATCATCTATGTCACAGCATCCAAAAGGCGAACCTTTGAGTCGGCCCTCCAAGGTACTGATGCGCCGCCGAGCCGCCGAGCATGGGTGCAGCCTCTGTGCTGTCAAGCACGCCAGGCCTAGGATGACTTCAGAAAAATCGGGGTCAACTTGTTGGTCAGACCTGGATCGAAAGGTGCCGTTGTGAAAATGTTGTCGACACTGCTGGGAGATATTGTCTGGGGAGCTTGCAGGGTGCGAGATACAGCTTGAGTGCTCACCGGGTGGACTGTTGCTAGAGAACCGGCCGCATGAAACTCGGCCGTTGGATACCTGGCAATACAGCCCAGCAGCCCAGGAAGCACTCAGGTAAGGCTGAAGAAGCCTGGAACCCAATACAAGCCACGAGCAAGCTGGGGAGGTCACCTCTCTCGTCGAAGGAAAGAACTGGCCGAATCCTGTCCCAGCAGCCAGTTTTGGGACCACGCACACGTCGCTTGCGGGCGGCAAGGCGAAGTGCTTAGCCCAAGTCAAGCAAATGCCGACGGACAGGGCAGCTTCAAGCGGCTAAGGTTGATGTTCATCTTGAACATGTTGATTGCTCAAGTTCACCGGTGGCGCATGTCACACCAGTCTCCAACAATCCCCAAGCAAACATGGTTTTGAGAGAGCCTGCCTATGCCCTCTTCGGAGAAGTGGGCCTGTCAGTCGAGGAACGGAATCGAGTCACAAAACGAAGGCGCTTCCTGTGATTGCAGGCCCGCGTGCCATCAACATATTGCAAGCCGCAAGCGACAGAGACTACAGTAGCTCTTCTTCAGGGTGGGAGGTACTGCACCCGTCACGCAGATTCCTGCCCAACCTCAAAGGTGCACTCTTTTGCTTGGCCCGTACCTCAGCAACGCTTCCAGCATCCAGCAGTTTCCATTGGAAGATGTGGAAGCCCTAACAATGCAGTGTGCACATGGGGCTTATAAGCCGATTTTCAGTCGAAATGGACCTCTCTTCCTTGGACAATCCCCATCTGCCAACATCCTCGCACTTGCCGGGCCGGCCTCCCGTCTCGCTGAATTCGCACGGACCTGGGAAACACAACGTGCTCCACTTACGGCAAAACCCTCTATCCTTATCTCTTCAATCAAGCTGATCAATGGGGGGACGACACCATTCGATCCAAACGGTCGAGACCTGCCCCCTGCCGCCTAGTGTAGTGGCGGATGTGAATATGATGCAAGCTGGAGATGACAGCTTTGAAGCGGCGCATATTTGGTCCAAGCGCGGCACGCCGCGCATGCGCCGATTGCGGGCGAGACTGTGGGCGTGACGGCGGGCGAGATCCTCGCAGGCCGTCCTGCAGGTGCAGCACAATCTCATTCGGTGGCTTGCATATGCGTGGAAATTCAATCGTGCGCGTGCTGGCCTGCTGCCCGTAGTGCCGCTCGATGTCCTGCTCAATAGCTGCAGGCAAGTGTAGGCAGCGCTGAGAGGCTTCATTTGACTCAGCAACTTCTCTCACGAAAGCGCATCCGCACACGCTGCGAGAGCCTTTTGCAGGGACACCAAAGGCGCAGAGAAAATTCCCGACCTGGTCATTTGGGGCCGGTGCCGAAATGGACTTCGTAAAAAGTGTGTTGGGGCTTCATACAACAAAGCTTTGTTCAGACTTCTAAGACTTGCTCTTCTGCGGCCCGCGCTTGAACGACGGCACGCGATGCTCCAACGGGACCTAGGTCTGTGCGGAGGCGGTCGTAATTTCCCAGAGAGCCTTCTGTAACCGATCTTGAGCCTCCGAAGCACCCTGCTACCAACTTGAAAACTTCGTCGTGAATCTGCCGATCAAGATCAAGCTATCACAGACGGTGGGATGCCTTTCGACACTGTGGACTCGACGTTCCGAGCAGCATCCGCGCAGCATCCAAGCCCAAGTGCCCCATTCCAAAACACGGTGCCGACTGCGCGACATCTGAGTGCTATAGAAATCTCATATATAAGCTGGCGGCCACCTTCAGCGTACTCGGAGCCTGCAGATGAGCTGCTGCAGCAAGTTTTCACAGATCGTCGTGTCAGCATGTATAAACATTATGAGATTAGCTACATAATTTTTCAATTCTCCTCGGCAAGACGAAAGCTCAGCGTCTACAACACCATCACACGTGTGCAACCTTTGCCAGACGAAGGCTCGAGGACTGCCTGCATCAAGGGGCTGGCCGGACGCGCAGGCCTTGGAAAGAAGTGAGCCGACTCAGGCAGACATGCAGTGTAAGGTTCAGGGAAATCAGCGCTTTTTCTGGGTTAGAGCTGCTTCATCCACAGAATAGTCTCAGGTATGTTACGTACATGCAAACAGAAATACATACATAATATACATGCATACATACATCATACATACATGCGCACAGTAGCATACAATTACACACGCATAATCACATGTGCATTGTCTTTGTGCAGGGTCAGCGGATGGACTATGTGGATGTGGTAAGACTGAAAACCTTCAAGGTCCGTGGCCGCAGCTTTGAGCAAGTAGTGCTGAGGCTTGCCGAGGTTCTGGAGCCAAACTGAATCCCGAAAGACTGCGCCAGCCCATGGATCCGCAAACCAACCCTTGCGTATTTGCACAGCTTACACCTGCCGATACTCAAAGCCGACCCGGGTGTGTCCATACAACGGCTTTCGCTCTGTGGCAGCGGCGTCGGAAGCACACGAACGGTTACCTGTTGGCTCCTCAGCTGCAACTTGGGAGGCGAAAACAGTTTCCAACACGTCGTCGCCTAGATTCGGCTTCGATCTCAACAATCAAACACATGCTTCGCGGATAGCATGCGGAATCGAGGGCAAACTGAGTGCCTGCAGCCGTCATACCCAAAAACGCAGAAAAACGTGGCTCGAAAAGTCACGAAGCAAAGCTCCCCTCCACAGGTGGGCCTCTGGCAGAACGACTCTTAACCTGTGCTGCCTATATGCATTGTCGTGGGTCCCTGCACGCCTCGCTGCTGCTGCCGCGGCTGCTTCGGCCAAGGCGACTGCCTGACGCCAGGGACTCGGAAGTTCTTGTAATCCCAAGTCGATGCGACCGCGACGCTTTTGGGGGCTGGCGCACGAGTAGGGAGGACAGCGGTGCGGTGCTGGCGCGTCCATGCGCAGGAGCTACATCCGCACAAGTCAAGGCAGGGTCTCGAGAACAGTTGGGCAGGCTTCAACTGCTGTCCGTTGGCATTCTTGTTAAACTGTCCTCCTTGATGACGATGACGCCTAACACCACCAGCACCAGCACCGGCAGCTGCACCGGCACCAGCAGCAACAACTTTACAAACACAACCGCAACTGCAACCACAACCGCAACCACCACCTCCAGCACCACCACCACCGTGAACACCCTGACCACCATCATAGCCACAACAACTCGCCGCATGGGCTACTGTCCCGTGCTTTGTGCCGGAGCAATGGCATTGCCACAGTGCCCATCATGTTGGAATGTTGCCA